AATATCAAATCATTCCAAACTCCCAAACTCTAAAACTACGTTCACAATACACAACCAAACAAACAAAAAAAATTTCTAAACTCTCTCCAAAACAAATTTTAAAAACTACTCTCTCAAAACCAAACCAAACATACCCTGCATCTTTCACCATTCCATTGCAGCACATCTGAGAACTCCAATGGATGCTGGTGGCTCTGTTTGATGTCCATCATTCTCCCTTTTTTTATCGTTTGCCTACTTTCTCTCTGTTATTCTCTTTGTTTCTGCTGCTTTTAATCTCTCTTCTTTAATTAATTGGCACATCAAAGGCATTTTTGTGGCACAATTGATGCCAATGTTGTATCTGCAGTCTCTACAAGAATAATAAGGGTGACAAAAATGAGACTGTATGCAAGCGTGGCAATTGATACGACCACGCACCATCAAAGTGAGAATATGATCGTGAGTTTCATCTCTGAATGTTGTTTCCAATGATGACTTCGTTGGAGGAATCAGTTGAAATGGTGGGGGGAAAACGCATGATGTGTGAGCAACAAAGTCACACCCTTCTACATAGCAATAGAACAATCCATTTGGGTACCTGTTTGCACCCATTTTCGTAAATTTCCTATCGACAGATGGATCAATTAGATGGTGACATGTGGCAAGGTCAAAGTAGAAGTTTTTCATCAGTTAAAGAGACAAGTGGCCTTAGAGGAGTTGATCATGTACGTGGAGTGGCTCAAGTGATGGAGCAGTTATCAAGCTAAGTCATAAATTTAGTGGGTTGCCTGCAAAAAAGATCAAGGGCAGAGTGAAGACTTGGCCCTGTCAATGAGGGGCCAAAAGTGTTAAGGGACACGTGGCAACATGGAGGAAAGACAAGTCGACAAGTAAAGTTGAAGGTCAATGATGTTTGTTTGTTGAAAGGGTTATTGCCAATTTAATTTTATTTTATTATATACAACTCTTCAAGGATTCAAGACTTCACATTTATGGGCCAAAGAAAGATGGAATGATATAAAAGCCAAGGATTTTGCAAGGAGGAGATGATCATCAACACAACAACAACTTAGTTTTATCTTACGAGTAGTTCTGTAACTTAGGAGTAGTTTCTTCATTAGTTTGTAAACTGGTAACTCTTGTAAACTTAGATAATTTCATCAAGAGTCTTTGTTTATTTTGTTACTTTTTCTTTCAATTGTTAATTGTTCTAAAGAAATCCTTATACTTTCAAGACAATTTTAGTCAAACACACAGTCGCTTGATCTGTTTGTTTGATTGTTTGTGTGAATTATTGTTTAATTCCTGTCGATTAGGAATAAGCATAATTTTTACTAACAGTACCGCTTTTCTTCACAAGCATCACAATAGCACTCCTCATCGTCATCCCCAGGATTACCTTTAGTGGGCTGGGTTGCAAAATAGTGAGTTTGAGTTGATGCCTGTGGGTCTTGTGTTTCCTTGTGAGTGACAAAAAAGCACAATTAAAGTCAATGGCTACAAAGTTCAGGACCACGCAATCGCCCATGGTACACCAAAAGAAGAGGGGATAGCTTTTAGCTTTGCAGTGAATAGAAGTGCCATAATAATTAATTAAGAGAGTGAGTGGGTGGTCGTGACCGACATGTTGAAAGGTGGTTGGTATGCTGAGGGCACAGTGGGAGTTGAGGGCAAAATGGCACTCGGCATAGTAGAAGGAGTTGTCATCACGAACATTTAGGCACAATTCACAAAAGGAAATGCCATTGAAGGCTGGCGGACAAGGTGGGTTTGCAAGAGTGAGAGGGTGATCAGGAGGGAGTGGGTAATGAATCTCATAGGGTAATTCGACACACGATTTGTGGATGAAGAATTTGCAAGTCATGCAACTAGAGGTAGGAGCTAAGATGTGAAGCCCACACTCAATGCAGTTTTCACCATTTAACAATTCATCGGACAGAGTTAAGGGATGCTCATGGATGAAACTTTTCAGCTTTAACATCCCACCCTCTCTACTTGTTTCTTCTCCTCCAGACATCTCTCTCTCACTCTTTCTGTCTCTCCCTCTCTCTCGTACAAGGCTACATCAATAAAAGGTTTTAAGTGCAAATTGTATTATGGCCAAACAAAACTCATCTCAACTATAGGTTGGTTGCACCAAAAACGAGAAAGAAGCAAAAACCAAGGGAGAAGTTAATGTTGTAGAAAGAAAGATCCTATTTGCTTTGTCTGTGCTTTGATGAATTGGACTTGAACCGCTTCATATAGAAGACAGATCATTGGCAATCCAAGGTTTAAAAAGAAATTTAAAAAGTAATAAGAAAAGACTCAGCTCTCAAGTCATATTCATGCATATATCTAAACATATCATTCAGCGCTCAGTTAGGAAGTTTGACAAGCCATGTTACATTAATGTGTATGAACTGTAATTATTTATTAAGTCTAATATTTATGGGTCATGAGCAACTCTCACTCTCTCTCTCTCTCTCTCCCTTTATCTATCTACCTCCACCAGATAGCCTTGGCTGGCTCGAATAGCTAAAACAACAATGAGCAATGCTACTTTACATAGAATTTATGCACGAAAAATACATAATATTTATTATGTAGTCTAAATCCATTTAAGATATGAGTTCCACCATAAAAGATTTGAAACTGAACCACATGTTATTTTTCGGGATATAATTTTTTACAAGGATTCCGGTGTATACATATATTTATTGAACAAACAATGAATATTAATCTACTAAGAACTTCAAACAAATTGGCGGTGATGTGTGTGGAGTGGCAGCAGTGACAGTGATGGTGGCGTTGGTGGAGGCAGTAACGACAGTAGTGGCAGCAGCGGCGGTGAGGAGGTGGTGATGTGGTGTTGGAGGTAGTACTTGTCTTAGACGGGTACTCTCGTCCAACTCAATGAATTCAAAACAAGTTCTAAATTAGTGTTATTGGACAAATTCAAAGTTTCGAACTGAGTTTGCTACTCCAATAATATTACAATATTATTCAAAGATCTGTACCCTAATTTGGTACAAAGTCAATTACATTGAGAACTAGAGAAAAACTTTTAATTTAGCAGAAATAATGCCTATGCAAGTTGAAGCATACTTGTGTTTTAAAAAGGGACTCACTGAGCATTTTAGCTAGGTTCTTAGTCTCACACCTGTGTTATGCTCTTCTTTCCCCTAATTGAGCCAAAGTTTGAAATGTGAACACTCACACATCTTTGCTAGGTGCTACAAGTTTTGAAACAAATTCCTCAATGTTCTTATCAGAGCTTCCATCTTTGTCTACTGCCTCTTTAGCAAATTGTTTCCACTTGACAGCATTCCTTCTAATCTCATTCCCTCTCTCCCCCTCCATCACATCTTTTATACTCCTCTCTATCTCTTCTCTAGTAATAATTCCCTTGTCATTGACCTTAATCCGAACCCCTGTGTGCCAAACATCCACAATATACTTTGCATTAGTCGTTTAATCAGTCCATTGCGGCATTGTGACCGTTGGCACCCCTAAACTCAATGCCTCCAGAGTTGAGTTCCATCCACAGTGAGTCATGAAACACCCCACGGCTTGGTGAGACAAAACTTCAAGCTGAGGACACCAATTCACCACAAGACCTTTCTCTAATGTCTCGACTATGAAATTGTTCGGTAGCTTACTCTCTTCTGAAGCTCTGACTATCCACAAGAAGTTTGTGTTGCTGTTCTTCTACGTAAACAACTGAGGCTTTTTCCTTTGTGTCTAGCCACTTCATGCAAGCTGCGACATTGGGCTTGAAGAGATTGAGGCCGTAATCTTTGTCATTCTCCAACCGCTTGTCTAAGTACATTGATGGAACTGTTGGTCCTACAGTCTTGATAGGCCATTGGGCTGCCATCCAATTCAATACCTAGTAGACGAAAATTGGCAACATGTAGGTCAAATCATAAGTAAAGATAATTAAAGGATATGGATTGTCTCTAGTATCTATCTCTAGTCGAACAAATAACTGGACAGGTTCAGTTTGGACTTGCGAGCCCACCATAGGCACTAATTCGATAATTTATTTCATTCATTTGGGAACTATAATTTTGAGTGGGGAGTTTTTGGATATGGCTTTCACTATTTTGGACTAATTACAAGCTGTTCATTTGGGAAAGAGAGATTCTCTCCCCTTAGAGAGGTACAAGACCTAGTTTGAGGAGCTCAAATTTTCACCCAAAATACTTTACCTCTTGTGCAAGGTTGAAAATGAGTCAAATTGAGTTGAGTAATAAGTTATTCAAGCTTGGTTTGATAACATAATTAGCTTAGAATTATGTTCAAATTTGGCTTATTTACGTAATGAGTTGATATTAAACAAACTTTTAACGAGCCGAACACAAATCATGCGTGGTGCATATAAGTTTATGAAGTCAACTAGTAAATTGTTCAAATTTAATTTTAAAGTTTAATAAAATTAAAATTGTATTCATATTTGAGTTACTTATATAATGAGTGATCTTTACGAGCTTTTAACGAGCGAAATATGAAAATTTATCCAGCAAGATTGTTCAAAGTTTAGAAATCATATCATCAAACAAATTGCTAACATGAACAAACAAACAAAACATACCTCTTCTTCAAGCTTGTCAAAAGTGTTAAACAACAACCAATCTGCTTTCCGAAAATTCGAGAACTGATTCACCAAGAGACTCAAAAAACTAGGGTACAAATCACAATCAGGTATGAGAGAAGGCAAATCACCGATCTCCATCACGGGCATCGAAAGCAAATCAAACTCCATCGACGACCTCACTTTCAAATTCCCCTCACTCTGGTGATAATAAATCGCACAAACACCACACATCTGAGTGAAAAACGCAGCCCCTGGAATCCCCAATCGCTGAGCCACGTCGAGACACCACGGCATGATGGCATCGTAGACGAGCACTATCGGAGGATCACTGGTAACCCCCACTGGGGTTCTGCGGCATTTTCCAATTACTGAATATTTTGTTCAAATGATAGCATAATTAAAAAATAATAATTATAATCAAACATCACATTATATATAATCAAATAATCCTTCAATCATAATTAAAATAATGACATAATTAATATCATAATATATCATAACTAACAATATAATAAATCATAATTGAAGACATAAAAATCGTAACAAAAAATTGCATACAATTGAATTTCCATTAAGTTGCGATATTACTTGAATATTGATTGGTACCAAGTGGGGCCAGTAACAACACCCCCCACTTGTGTCTTTCTATTTTTTATTTGGTCAAGCAAGACGCCTCCATGTGAACCGCAAAAACAAATTCAACAGGAAGAAAAATGAGATTTCACACATCAAAACGAGTAAATGCCCCCCACCTGGATCACTGAAACCCCCAATTGAATTTCAGCATTACAAATCCCCAATTTTCAAACTCACTAATCACCTTTAATCACAAACTCAATTCAGAGTTTAGACTCCTCCCTTCAAACCCGACCAAGGCTACTCTGCACCAAAACACATTTTTTTTTTAAAAAAAATGGCTGAGTGCAGTGTTCCATCTACTAGCCAACTTCGCACCCTTCCTCCGACAAGAGGTCAATTTGTCGACTAGAGTTGAAGAAGAGATCCAATACATCAGAGATGAATTTGAGCGCATGACAGCTTTCCTCAGAGTTGCCGATGCTATGGAAGAGAACAACACCGAACTCAAAGTATGGGTCAAGCAAGTCCGAGAAGCTGCATATGACATTGGAGATGTTCTCGAGTTGTACATGCTTCGCCTTGGACATCGTCATGGCACTGGATTTTGCGGTTTTCTTGGTAAGGTTTCTTGCTTTATTAAGACTTTAAAAGCTCGTCACCAAATTGTTTCGGAAGTTCAAAGAATGAAGGCCAAAGTCATTGATATTTCGAAGGGACATCAGAGATACCATGAAAGATATGGTATGTTAGAGCAAGGCTCAAGCTCAAGGTCCACTGGTCTTAACACAACATGCCATGATTATCGTGGCGATGCCCTTCTACTCCATGAATTTGAGCTTGTGAGCATTGACAAGCCCAAATCGCAACTAATTAGGTGGCTGATGCATGAAGACCCCAGACTCAAGGCGTTTTCTGTATCAGGAATGGGCAGATTGGGCAAAACAACACTCGCTAAAAGGGTCTTTGATGATGCAGTTGTGAAGAATCATTTCCAGAGCCATGTTTGGATCACTGTTTCTGAATCCTTCAAGATTGAGGTGCTCCTAAAAGGCATCATCAAACAACTTTTTGAAGAAATCAAACAACCAATCCCACAAGGGATGGACAACATGGATACCAACAGCTTGAAAGGGATAATTAATGCTTTCCTGCAACAAAAGAGGTATGTGCTTGTTTTCGATGATGTATGGGATATTTATGCCTGGCAATCTTTAAGATATGTGTTTCCCAATGGCAATTGTGGGAGTCGCGTAGTGCTGACAACCAGAAATGTAGATTTAGCTTCTATCGCTAGTGCGGAATATTATCGTGATGTCTATAATCTTCAGCCCTTGCCTCCTGAAGAATCCTGGACATTGTTTTGCAGGAAAACATTTATGGAGAATTCTTGCCCTTCACACTTGGAAAGACTTTCAAAAGTCATCTTGCATAGATGCGAGGATTGCTGCTTGCAATTGTGGCAATTAGTGGTCTTTTATCAACAATGGATAAGAGCAGTGTGGATGAGTGGAATAAGATCTACGGTAGCCTTGCAATTGTTTCATTGACCATTGGAGATTGATTCGATTATGGGTGGCAGAAGGATTTGTAGAAATGAAAGCAAGAATGACGGTAGAAGAAGTTGTTGAGGCCTACCTCAATGAGCTAATCAATAGAAGCTTAGTTCAAGTGGTAGAGATGAGATCAGATGAAAGGATCAAAACGTATCACATCCATGACCTTTGGCATGAAATTATTGTTTCCTGGTCAGGTGAGCAAGAGTGTGGCCCAAAAAGGTGCGGCGCTTGTCAATCCACAATCATTTGGAAAATACTCAACAAAGCAAGTGTTTCACTCTGTGAAGCACGGGTACTCCAAAAATGTTGCCGTACAAGTACTGGGTACTTCCCGGGTGCGGGTACGCGTACCGGTACGGCTGCACGCGTACCGGGTACGCCAAAAACGTACCGGGTACGTTTTATACGGTTGGTATACGGCTGGGTACGCCACGGGTACGCCACGGGTACGCCATGGGTACGTTTTGGGTACTCCGGGGTAAAAAACAAGATTTTTTATAAATTAAAGGGTACCGGAGCAATTTTTTATGTCTATTTTAAAGAATTATAAAAATCTGGGGTTCTTTTGTAATAAATAAAACATAAATAAAACATCAAAACAAATAAAATTAGGGTTCTTTATTCATTCGATCGTCTCAGCTCCTTCCATATCTCATTCCAAAATACTCCAAGGCTGAAGAACTTCGAAGGTGCTTGCTAGGGTTCCATGTCTATTCGATCATCTCCTTCCAGAAATACTCCCAAGAGAGTCTGAAGAACACTTCGAAGGTGCGATTGAAAGGTTTAGTCGAAGGTGCTGCTGATTGATTCTCTCATTCAAAGGTGCGATTGAAGAGGTAAGTTCATCTTCGATTCTTCCCCCTTTTCTTCTTCGATTCTTTATCCTCTTTCTTTCATTTTTTTTTTCAGATTTTTGTGCTCTTTCTTCGCTGCAAACGATTGATTCTTCTTTTCTCTTTAGTTTTCTCTTTCTTTGATCCTTCATCTTCTTCTTCATTTTTCTTGAACTCTCTTTTTTTTTTTCGTGATATATGTCCAGATTTTTGAACTAAAATCTGTCCAGATTTTTAACTAAAATCTGTCTAGATTTGTTGAACTAAGATCTGTCCTTATTTATTTATTTTTTTTTTTCTGATGTATGTCTAGATTTTTGAACTAAAATCTGTCCAGATTTTTAACTAAAATCTGTCCAGATTTGTTGAACTAAGATCTGTCCTTATTTATTTAATTTTTTTTTTCTGATGTATGTCCAGATTTTTGAACTAAAATCTGTCCTAATTTATTTATTTATTTTCTGATATATGTCCAGATTTTTGAACTAAAATCTGTCCAGATTTGTTTAACTAAGATCTGTCCTTAATTTTTTTTCTGATATATGTCATATATATATGCAATATGATATTGGTTGTAAAGCTTGATGACAAATTAAAAACCCTGACACCTTAAATTCTCTTTGGTAGCTGTTTATTTTGAGGGGGAGTGATGAGGATTTTGTAACTGAAAAACAGAGCATTAATTTGTGATGCATAACCATTGGTTTTGAGTTAAGTTAAGTTATCTGTCTGTTTCAACATTAAGTTAACTTCCCTTTGGTGATGGCGTTGTTGAATTGAAATATATTAATATTAATTTGTCTTTTAGTTTTGTAATTCTCTTTTTAGTTTTGATATTTAATTTTAATTTGTAGGTTGGATCCCTTAACCATAATTATAAAAAAAAAAATATCGGCGTACCGCAGCCGTACCCGTATCATACTTTTTTACGTCCTCCACCCCTTATTCTCTACACTTTTATCATCTTCAGTTTAGAGTTGTCATCAACATTGCAAAATGGCCGAGAGTGCAGTGTTCCATCTACTAGCCAACTTCACACCCTTCCTCCAACAAGAGGCCAATTTGTTGACTGGAGTTCGAGATGAGATCCAATACATCAGAGATGAATTTGAGTGCATGACAGCTTGCCTCAAAGTTGCCGATGCTATGGAAAAGAACAACCCCGAACTCAAAGTATGGGTCAAGCAAGTCCGAGAAGCTGCGTACAACATTGGAGATGTTCTTGAGTTGTTCATGCCATCTTGAATAGATGCGAGGGATTGCCACTTGCAATTGTGGCAATTAGTGGTCTTTTCTTATCAACAAAGGATAAGAGCAGTGTGGATGAGTGGAATAAGATCTACCGTAGCCTTGCAATTGTTTCATTGACCATTGGAGATTGATTCGATTATGGGCGGCAAAAGGATTTGTAGAAATGAAAGCAGGACTGACGGTAGAAGAAGTTGTTGAGGCCTACCTCAATGAGCTAATCAATAGAAGCTTAGTTCAAGTTGTAAAGATGAGATCAGATGAAAGGATCAAAACGTATCACATCCATGACCTTTGGCATGAAATTATTGTTTCCTGGTCAGGCGAGCAAGAGTGTGGCCCAAAAAGGTGCGGTGCTTATCAATCCACAATCATTTGGAAAATACTCAACAAAGCAAGTGTTTCACTCGACTTCATTCTTTGCTTATGTTCAATGCAACAGATTCACTGTCCAAGTTCTCCATGCTTGCATTGTCAAATGATGGTCTACAGTTGCTAACCGTGCTAGACTTGAAAGGTGCCTTGTTGGAGACATTCCCAAATGAAGTTTTGAAACTAATTCAACTCAGGTATTTAAGTTTGAGGGGAACCAATGTAAAAGTAATTCCGAAGTCGATTGGAAAGCTCCAAAACCTGGAAACATTGGACCTTAAAAATACGTATGTCACTGAGTGGCCTGATGATATCCTCAAGCTACAACAACTTCGCCATATCATGTTGTATCGCTACAAACAAGATCTTGTTCCTTCCATTTGTTTTCAACACCATTGTGGATTCAAAGCCCCAGCGGAAATAAGAAGTTTGTCATCCTTATAGAAACTTTGTTCTATTGAAACAAACCTTGATAATGGGACCATTTTACTAGAAGAGGTAAGGAAGTTGACTCCATTAAGGAAATTACACATTGAAAAATTGAGAAATGAAGATGGGAGGGTGTTATGCTCGTCCCCTGAGAAGCTTAGTAACCTTTGCTCGTTAGTTGTTCGTGCAATAGGAGAAGACGAAATCATTGATCAGATTCTCATTCTTCACCTCCTCAACTTCTTCGAACGTTCTACCTAGTAGGAAGTTTACAGAAGGTACCGCATTGGATACCTTCATTGCACAGCTTGGTAAGAGTAGCATGGAGTAAGTTGAAGGATGTTGATCCACTAGAATCCCTTCAAAGTTTGTCCAATTTGGTTGAACTTCAACTTCGTCAAACATATGAAGGGAAAGAATTGTGTTTCAAGGCTAGCGGATTTCAAAGACGTGTGAGATTAGGACTTGCTGGATTACAAAGATTGAGATGGGTGAAAGTGGAGGCTGGCTCAATGACTCATCTTGAAGAGTTATTTATCTGTGAATGTAAATTGGTAGAGGAGTTACCCTCTGGCATTAAACATCTAACCAACCTTAAATCTCTTTATTTTGTTGATATGTCTTACGGATTGAGTTCAAGCTTGGACAGAAACTTAGAAGATGGGAATTATTGGAAAATTGCACACATTCCAGAAGCTTGGATTGGGGACACAATATTTGGCTCTATGCAAGGAAATTATCTATAGCGAGAGAGGAGATAGCTCTAACCATATTGGATTACTACTATATTTAGAATGCGTATTATGTATTTATTTATTTTCACATGCTCTTGGTACTTGACTTCTTGTATTCATATTGATATCAAATTTTTGTCTTTTTTTTCTTCTCCTTTTCATGTTTTTTAGTAGATCAGGAGCTAGTTATTTGACCTCCAAATTTTGATCCTAGAGAGTTGGTAACTTCACACGTTTTTAAATTGGGATTGTGAATCTTAGGGTTCGTTTGGTGAGGTTTTTATTTTATTTTGCTTTAGCTTTAAATTTTTTGAAAATTGAAATAAAAAAAACCGTTTGCTAATTGTTCACTTCTAAAAAAACTGGCTACGGTTCTCAAAAATTGAGGAAATAAGAAAAATGTGGTTTTACTTATTTTCAAAACAAGTTTTATTCCTTCTTACCTCCCTCACCCTTCCATCCTCTGGCCAACCTCTCCGCTCCTACAACAACCTCTGACCACTCCCCCCATTTGGTAACTTACTATACTTGTTTTGATTTTGGAAAATGATATACAAGTTTTCTAAACTCATTTTCTAGATTCAGTACCATATAAAAGAGATGATTGGTTAATGATTAGAGGGAATATGAGATCACAACTACCACATTTTCCTTCAAACGTTATTCAATCAAGCCAACAATTGTGATTTTTTTTTTTTTTAGTTGAATTTCTCTCAAGTTCATGCCCAAGGGACCCATCACAAGTCCATTTCAATGATTCGAACTATTCATTTTATAAGACCATCAATGTATATTATCCGTGAAAAAAATTTAATCAATATAATAATCGTAACATTCTTATTTTATTACATTACGTTTGGTGAGGTGGTTATGGACAATTTTGTATTGGACAGCTTCTTGGCTTTTTTTTTTTTTTGGCCTTTTTTTTTTCTTTTTTTTTTTTTTTGATTGGCACCAGAATATCTGGATCAAAGCTTGACTAATCCGAAGGGTGCATAGGCACTCGGCAAGAAATTTCTTGCAAGTGCATCAGGGTTAATGCAAGGGTTTTCTTCCAATCTGATGGCCTCAATGAATTGTTAGCACTTAAGAGATTTCGATCCCTGAATCTTGGAGGGAGCACAACTCCAAGACCTAAGGCCTTACTACCAGGCCAACCCCTTGGGGTTAACTTCTTGGCTACTTTTTAAATCAATTTATCTCCAACCTTGATGGAGATTGTATAGAATGAATGAGGTCTATTTTCATGACTCATTGATGGACCTCATTCTTTATGTACCACTGCTTTTTTGTCTTGGTATCAAATTTCATTATCAGACCATCTTTTAAATGTCTCTTCTATTTGATCTCTTTATTCTTCTTCTAACAATAATGGTAGTGCACAGAGAAGTATAAACAAAAGCGTATGAAAAAAATGAATTTGTGTTGTGTTTTGTTCATTTTTAAGTGTGCATATTTGTGTGTGAATTTTTTTCTCGTGCACGTAGGCTAGCATTGCTCTTATGTCTAACACTTCTACATAGAACCTTGTAAACGAGTCAAGTTGAACTTACTAAATAAGTTGTGCAAGTTTGACTTGAAAACTTAATGAACTAATGAACTTGGCTTGTTTATATTTCGAGTTGATCTCAAACTAAATTTAATCAAATGAATCATGAGGTGAAAAACAAAAAATGATTTAATGCTATTGAAACAGAATTTCAACCAGTCCCATTCACCAGTAAGGCTAATACCAACCAGTTCCATTCTCATACTAAAATAGTTAATCTAGTGATAGCAATAAAATCAAAGCTCCTAAATTAACCACAAGAATTGAATTAATCAAAACCAGCTACAGTATCAAGGACTCTGCACCAACTAGGTTGCTATCTATCTGATATAAACTCTCAGGTCTAAGTTTTCCTTTTGAAATGTCATCTTCTATAAATTCTCAAGCATCATCTGAATTTGAGCATAGCTCAAGTGGATGTACTTTCAGGTTTCTAGAGGGACGTTTGGCATTCAAGCTTATGGAGAAACGTTGAATGCCCCGTTGTACTAACCCTAACATAATAACCCACTAACATCATACTGAGTGCTCCAAAGAAAAATGTCTAAGCATCATCTTGTAGCTGATTATCAAGATGTAAATAACAAAAAATCAGAATTTCAATAGCTTTCTTTTCTCTCCTCTTATTTATCTATTTTATTCTGCACAACAAAAAGAACAATAGTGTAGTGTTAAGGCAATAGAAACCTTGATTTCAGCTCTGGATGCAATTTCAACATATGACATGGACTCCAAAAGCCTAAAGAACAATGAAATTTCCAAATTCTAACTTTTTAATTGTGCTATAAACAGCAATGAAATTAACATTACTCTCCATGCGTATCGTGGTAGCAAATTTACAGACAACTTTAACCTACATTGACTGATCATTTTGGAATCTTTCAAACCTTTGCATCAGAAAGATATACAGAAAAATCAATAATACAAAAACCTAATATTATACAAAGCAGTGGTATAAAAACTCCAAAACGGGACAACCAAATCAGAAGACGTTTTAGCAACCCCTAGGCCTAGAGTATTTTGGGGGAAGAGATGGGCACCTTTCATTCATATGAGGGTATGGATCCATTTGATACTTCCCTCGAATTTGGCAGAAAGGGAGCTTCACGGTGTCCGCATCATTGCACCACTTTGGCAGGCAGCTTGAATTGTTTTCAAAGAGCTTGAGAATGTAAGCATATCTTTTATCTGCAGTTTGGACAAGATAAATTAACAAAGCAATAATATGTAAAATTCCTGACCTGGGTTTTACATCCACACAACAATCAATTTCAGTTGAACATCCATATTTATTTACCCATACAGTTCAAGATCATTTTGGTGATAGTAAAATGAAAGATAAATTTCATATATAGTCCCTAAAGTATACCATTGATTTCATTTTGGTCTATAATCTTCAATTTGTATCGAAGACAGAGAGAGAGAGAGAGAGAGAGAGAGAGAGTACCTAAATTAATCTGGCGAGAACAATCGTTGCCACTTCTTCTTCTTCAGTGGAAAACCCAAGACTTCCTTCGATTTCGATGAAGCTTCATTCTGACTATTCCCTTGATTTCGTCATTGGGGTTTAGGGTTTTAGAGGTGAATGAAAATGGAGGGTCGTAGGTATCTTCGTTCGGGGATTGAGATTGGCTTAAAAAAACTAGAGATACAGAGAAAGAGAGAGGAATGTGGGATACACGGTGAAAGGAGATGAATGAGTGTTTAGAGTAACGACATTTTGCGCTCACTTCTCAACGCTGCTTTTGGTTAAAGATTTGAAGTAAAATAAAAAAAAAAAAAAAGACAAAAAGAAAATATAAATAAAATATGAATAAAATATAGGAAAATTTACCCATAAGTCCTAGTTTTTGAAACGTTGAACCATTTAGTCCTAAAAGTTTTCTTATGCTCCATTTAGTCCCATAGAAGGTGCTAAATTACTAAACCCCTCAAATTCTAACTCATTTGTAAATTCTCCTTTTGAACTTCAAAATTTAACAGTTAAGTTTTTCAAAGTATTATCTTATTATAATTAATATTTTTGTTAATTTTTTAAAATTTATAAAAAAATCATATCATGTGTAAATGATATGACACATTTATTAAAATTTTAAAATAATAATATCTATGACACAAAGAGTTATTTTAAAAAATTAATAAATAAATTTAGATTATTATATTTTTTTGAAAATTTTTTTTTAAGGTCCCCAATAATAACAATTTAGAGCATAAAGGACACCCAAAAAAATAATGATGCATTAGGTCCCTGAACAACTTGGCACGCGTTTTTAATTATTTTGTGGACCAAAATACCCTTGCCAAAATCAACACAGAAACGAAACTCATTCCGATGTCTGAGTTCCATTCCAAACATCCAGCATCTTCACGAATAGGAGAACAGCAGAATTAGGGTTTCAACATCATTTGCACTATCGACATTAGAGCTTCGTTATCTTCTCCAAAAATCATTCCCATTCCTTCCTCACAAATTTCTCTGACCTAGGTTAAAGCTTCGTTTTCACTGCTCATCATCATCTCAGTCCATCTTCTTTACGTCGCATCTTCATCTCGGGCCATATCAGCTCGTCATTCAAGTTTCATCCTAACTCTGGTCAGTTTTTCTACAATACAACTAGATTTTCTTTGGAAACACAGTTAATAGCATTTTATAATAACCTTCCATAAATTAGGGTTTCAATTTCGTAATAAAAAGCTACCTGTATTTGGAAAAAGTTATTTCAGTGTGTTTTGAACTTATTCTTGAACATGTTTGTGTGATTTTATCTGTAAATTTCTCTGGAATTTGAATTTCTCTGATTTTTTGCTTGATGTATGTTTCTTCTTTCAATTTTCTCTGGCATGTTTATTTTCACAAAAATAATTTTTTGTGTTTTTATCTTATTTTGGAACATGTTTCTGTAATTTTGTCTATAAATTTCCCTGCTCTGTAAATTTCTTTGTAATATGTATTTTTAATTAGAATGTCTATCTTTCTCTGGAATGTCTATTACTCTCTTGCCTCTGTCTAAGTTTTTTTGGTATTTATAATTTTCTTTGACCACATCACATCACTTTCCTCCCTTATGTGTCTCTATCATTTTAATTTTCTCTGGAATTTTAATATTATGGACTGGAATGAATGTTTTTTCTTTGAATTTTCTCTGCCATGTGTATTTTGAGAAAAAGTTATTTCTCTGAATTTTGATCTTATTCTTGAACATGTTTCTGTGATTTTGTCTATGAATTTCTCTGCTTTGTAAATTTCTCTGGAATATGTATTTTTCTCTGCAATGTCTATTACTCTCCTGTCCCTGTCTAATTTTCTCTGGTATTTATAATTTTCTCTGACCACATCACACCACTTTCCTCCCTTGAGTGTCTCTATCATGGTTAATTTTCTCTAGTTGTGTATGTAAATTTCTCTTGCATTTTAATATTATGAATTGAAATTTTCTCTGGAATGGAAATTTCCTCAAGAATGTGTAATTTTATCTGGAATGTGTATTTTTCTCTGGTATGTTTATTTTGTTCAATTCTTGGTTTCAATATGGTGTAATTCTTAGTGGCATGTTTACATTACTTTGTTTATTTTATCTTTGCTAATTATGGAATGGAAATTTTCTTTCGCTTGCCGTGTTTACTTTTTTCTATCATTCATTTTCTCTGGTATGTTTACTTCTATATGTAATTTTAACAATTATTGAAAATTTCTCTCCCATGTTTATGATACTGTGTTGATTTTCTCTGACATTTAATTTTTAATGTCCAATTTTCTCTGGCATGTCAAATTTTCTCTGGAATGTCCAATTTTCTGTAATTTTTCCTTATCTGTAATTTTCTCTGACATCTCCAATTTTCTCTTTTCTGTAATTTTCTCCCTTATCTGTAATTTTCTCTGACATATCCAATTTTCTCTGGGATTTAATGTTGACATCTTTATGTTTTAATCATTGTCTAGAAATGGCAAAACGTAAAAGCAGCGAAACACCGGAAACACCAAGCAAAAAATAGAAACTCTCTCAGTCTTCTTATAGACTAAGATAAAAAACTAGCAGCAAAACACTAGAAACACCAAGCAAGAAAGAACAACTCTCTTAGTCTTCTTATAATCTAAGATAAAAAATCAGTAGCAAAACACCACAAACTCCTCACCAAAACACACAAGTCCAAGCTGATGAAGCAACTAGCATCCAGATGAGTACCCCAACTTCAAAAGACTCAAGCTCAAGGGGGAAAAAACCTGTTAAACTCCACAGAAAGAGAGCTCACTACAGCATTCAATTCCGATCCAACCTCTCATCTGTCGTCTCCTTCTTTCAAACACTTAAATTCAATTCAAAACAACTTCTAGAGCTTCAAAAGACCCCATTCTGGTATTTGATCCAAGCTCTAACCACTGGAAGGATCGATCCAAAGAAATCTAGGAAATCCGATGATGATGTAGTTGCCATAATCCAATGTTACAATGAAAAAACAAAAGCATTCA